TGTAGAAGTTGTAGTCTTTATCTCAGATCTAACAGCTGGGGTTAGGCTGTTGACATGACCAGACTTCTAGCATTTTAAAGCCCACTCTTGCATCCTTCGAATTCGTTTCAGCATTGGCTATGAGAATTTATCCAACTTTAGATCGTTTCACTAGGATAACACAAGTCAAAGTAATGGTTGATGTAGTCAGCAAGGTTGTCGCAGTTAGTCAGGGAAAACATCAACTGCAGCCTTGCGATCTCTCAAAATGAAAGATATTGCCGCTTCACAATCCTGTGAAAATTTTAGTAGTGTGACAAAAACTAAACTACTGTGTTCGATCGGAAACAAATCTGAAACAAAATGATCTGAGCCAACGAACATCAACAACAGTACATCAGCCAGTTGAACTGATGCTTCACTACCACACAACCATAACCACCTACGGTATGAAGAAAAATAAGAGAGACAGGAGAGGGACTTACTAAAAAACCCTAATGCCCTAAGCAAACATTCAGGTTCAAGGTAACTTCACGTTGTCACCAACATACTGTCACAAACAACTGGCTGTCGTGCAAAAAGTAATGTGACATCAGTTAGACAGCTTCTTTGCGAAGTTCACTGTCCCGCATCATAATCTCATTACCCCGCAGATAACTCAGCACCAAACACACTTTAAACAGGCAGCCCGATTACGAGACGGTAGCAGATGTACCACTGGTGTCCACTGCGAATCATATCGTGCAACGTCTGGAGCCAACCACAAGGTGGGTCACGTGCACTCCAACCCGGAAGGCGAGACGGACCGATGGCAATCAGTTTCGTCGTCAGTGACTACGTTCCCCAATTCCAAATCAAGTTCTGTCCACCTCGAGCCTTGAGCCACCCTACATTCACCAAACAAAACAAGGCCCCATGGTCTGAAGTGCTCAAAAGAGCTCATTTTTGAATGAAAGACAAATGCACCTTGCTTGTGCAAATAGCGTCAAATGAGTATATGGTCGAGTCGAAAAAATCACTAGATCTAACAAGCCAAGCGTCCACAAGAATTCTGCGACCTTTCTACTAAAATAGCCAACAATAATGCAGATAGAAGAACTTAATTTCAGCACTAGCACTAAAGAAACTTGGCATATCAAAAAGATTCGACTAAGACGCGGATGTGTCAGGAGCAATGTAGACGTTTACAGAAATGATCGAGTGAAAGCCACTTAAGAACAGTTTGAATATGATTAAATAGCAGTTTATATATTATAATTAAGTGAACAGTACAGTTGCTGAATTGCACCAATGTCGATTACCGCAGGTTATGACGCCACTAGCACGCAACTAGGGCTACCCAAGGCGATCAGACCTGATGAGAGAATAACTATCGAGTTGAGTAACTCGATAGACAATAGAGATAGCACAAAAAGAGGCGGGTTCAAAACCATGAATTAACGCTGAACAGCACAGCATGTTGAAGTCATCTTGCCGGAGCTCTCTGTTGTAAAGCTGCCTTCGTAATGCCGCACTGCTGCTATTCTGCGCCTGCGAGACTACGACCGCCTGATTGCTCAGTCACACGCCCAGCCAACCGACGGGATAGAGAAGGCCAAAGCTCGGTAAACAGGAAGTCTATGCTACATGATAGGCCAGTTATATTTATTGGTGAACAAAACGTACTAATTTTGGAGGCGTTTGGCTCTCAGCCAATGTGAGTTAATTCCGTCCCACGGAATTTCCATATTTGGCAGAATGGTTCGCCTCCGTGGACTCGGGCTTGTATTTGCTGGCCAATCAGTTTGCACCCGATTCCCAAATTTGGCAAAACAGTCGATGGCCGTTCCACGCTCGTGGTGGTGACCTTCGCATACAGTAGACAGCTCACGTGCTCCGCGGTAAGCCTGTGCGCGACCTCGTATCTGGACATTGGCTCCGCTTACCTCTCTAGTACTCTTGTTCTCATAAAAGATACCAGCAGTACGCCGGTACACCATGCCGGCGCTTCGCTGCCACGTGACCACGAGTGGTCGCGCGTGGGCTGTTTATCCAGCAAGACTGCCAAGAACTACGCGGATGCGGATCGGTGACTTCCGAGGTACAGGCGCGTAATCTTCTCGACCACCGACCGACTCTCTTGTTTTCACACGGCACTCTCCGGTCAACAGCAGCAAACATAAAGTTCACGTACCGTAGTGCTACTTGCGTGCATAGAGGAAAATAGTAAGGAAAAAAGGAGAACGTAAAAATAAATATGTTCCGTACTGCTATGGGGACCAGTCAATAACATCTAACGTGTTTTCCTATAAATTCCCATTGATCTTAATTTGTGTATCGCGTCCACTTGTCTAGCACAATCGTGACCACGTTTTTGTGATCCCCAGGCGTTCTAGCAAGTGCAAAAGGCGAACACAGCATAACTGGCTGAGATTTCCTCCCAATATGTCATAATTGACCGCTCGTTCTGCTTATCTTATCTGGGCAGTAAGGCTAGGCAATGGCAGTGCATCGTTAACTTACCTGTCCGCGAGTTTAAATAGGTGTCTAATGAGCCCGTGATTTGTCCACAAAGTATACGTTATCGGTAATTCCTAGATAATTCGGAGAAAAGGTGTGCCGTTATTTAACCATGCGAGTATTCGATCCGTAAAAATTACAGGAGATAAATGGAAAGTACAGAATGCAGTGTATATTTCGAGCGGAACATTTTCTATTTGAAGAGTCTGACAAAGGACAAAATGGCTAGTTCCAAAATCGCAAAGCTGAAGACATCAACACTTAAAGAGAGAATGTCAGTCAGGGAGGAAACAGTTCGCAAACATTGGCAGAACATTTCGGTGAGAAAAGACACAAATACTTTGAACTTTAAATGACAACGCACCAAGACTGAAAATAGAGGAGCGGAAAAAACGGGAAACGAAGACAAACACATTTTGTTGGAAATGGTGCCAGTTTACACTTGCAAGACAAACCCCATTAGTTGGATCAATGATTCAAGAACGAGCTTTGCAATCTAGGGGCAATCTTTGTCCCTTGCACAGTTCGTAACTGGCATGGCAGTGGAGGATGAGTCGCGCCATACCGTAGTCAACTGTGAGTCATACAGGTCCACCGCCGTCGCGCATGGCTTTGTGGCACAAACTGCTGGCAACTTGGAGTCATGGAGTCGAAACCAGGAAGGGGGCCGAGGAACGCGCACCTCTGAGGGGAACCCAGAAGGTCGAAACAGCTGTCTGATGAGTGACCATACGTGTGGGAGCCTGTGTGACTGAGAGGAAACTGCGACAAACTACATATAAAACTTTGTAAAAGAACTGAAAAATCCAGACTTTGAACGGTCGGTTGCAGGCTTTCATCAATGGGCACAACCTAGTGTTTGGTAAGCAATCTGGCGAAAGCGGTGAATCAGATATGTGTAGTCCATCAGACTGCACAGCCTAATCACCCGAAATACGTTGTGGCCAGGCAGCTCAAGATATTTTAATTTGGATAAAACTGGGTTGTTTTCGAAGCGATGCCGGAAAAGAGATTTTTTATCAGAAAAGAAAAATGCACAGGTGGAAAAATGCAGAGTGAACCACAGTTATGTTGTGCACTAACATATTAGGGGAAGCGAGGACCGGCCTTAGCAATTGGGAAATCAGTCTCTCCTCAAATTTTTTGTAACGTAAACACGAAAAATACAGGTAATTTACAAAAATAATAAAATAGGCATGGATGACAGAAGTTATTTTTGAAGAATGGCTTAAAAGCTTCGGCAGAAATATGCAGCAAAAAGGCGCAAACTTATTTTTTGTTGACAATGCCACTTGCCATTACATGATCCAGATAAAGAATGCAAAACTGCAGTTTCTGCCACCTAACACCATTGCGTTAGTTCAACCCCTCGACCGGGGAGTCACACAGACAAGTTAATTAAAGTTTAGGAAAAAAAGCCACATTATGATCATGGAATCACACAGAAATGTCCAGAACTGAACTCATGAAACGAGTAAATTTGTTGGATGTCGTGTTCCTGATTGCTGTCGCATGGGAGGTGGAGAACTCAACAATCATGCAGACAGATACTGAGACAGTAATGCAAACTGCACCTGAGGAAGACGAGCAAATTGTACCTACTGCAACCCCTACTGCATTGGATAATCTTCCATAGAAATTGTTTGAATGCTAACTGACGATAGCCCCGTGGTTTATTTTAATCTCCAAACTTGTAACAAAACAAAAATAAACTGGGACCTATCCGCCACCTCAATTTTAGTAGCTGAGCAGGAACAAGATTCTATAGACGTTCTGACGACGCATATATTCACATACGCACCGGGTGCTGTTGATATTTTGCGTTCCTACGCAATAAATAGCAGACGCGCAGACATGCTTGAACGTGAGGGTAAAACTAAATTCAATGTTTATTTCAATTGTCAAGTAACAGATTTCCATACTGCATCTTTTTCCTCGGGTGGAAAATGTTACGGACAATGGAAAAGTTTGTGCGTAGGACTTTTCTAAAACATATGGATCACGCTGATTTGCAGGTTGGTTTTAAAAGCATTTACTCATAAGTTGAAACTTAATTACATTTTTATTACTCATATATCCGACAGTATACAATCGTACTGTTACTGCTTTAATAAGAAGACTAAAACTGATATTAAAAAGTGTCTGTGTACAACAGATTTGGCTAACATTTGAAAGTGTTGTATACATGTGTAATCGATTATGAGCGGTGTCTCCTTTGCATGAAACCGTTCATGATACCATCTGTCCAAGGGGACAGTCCCTTGGATTGTCGCCTAAGACAAGTTTGAGTGTATTTAAAAGCTTTGCAAATTGTCGATGGCTATCAATTTTTACAACTTTCCTCCAGCTAAGCACCGAGAAGCATCTATTTTGTCCGATAAGAACGATCTTCCTGTGGTTGGCCATAGTGACAGGCAAATCCGAAACCGGATGTTGCCATATATATATATATATATATATATATATATATATATATATATATATATACGACAAGTAATTCCAAGATAAATGGATCAACTTACTATCTTGTTCCGTTAGCTGAAGTCGTTCCCCTACCTCGGATAAAACGTTTGACATAAGTTCGTCGCCCATCTGAGTTTCATCCACACTTAGTGTAGCAATGGAAAGTTTGGGAGGTAACTCAACCCGCAGACCAGATGCAGCAGCTCGGAGTACCGAACCGACGGTAGACCTTGTTTCTGCGTCACATAGAACATCTCCGGTGCGATAATCACCCGGTTCAGAGGCCAACTGATGAGCCAAACGATTATTTTCTTCTTCTATTTCGGTTACCTCGCTCAGCAGACGTTGTGTTTCGCAATACCAACTTTGCTCCATTTGCTCCAACGTCTGTTGAAAGATAACCGGAAAAGGTTGATAAACTTTTTATAGCCCTAACAACAAGCAGTTCAAGCGCATCACCAGACAGGTTTATTTGATGGAGGTAAGGCCCCTAAATGTACCTAACGGAGTAACAATTTTTGTACGAGCTGAGTGAGTGAGTCAGACGCGCTGCGTTTGGATCGGGAAATGGAAGGATAGTATAACACATGGCATATAGTTAAGGCTCAACAGATCTCGTGGGAAGTTCTGGGTGAAATACACATGTTTTACTCAAAAATACACTGACATGAAAGTAAACCGCACATCTGAGGATTCATCATGCTATTAAGATTAATATGTACAATAATACTGATACTCGGATTGCGTGGGAAAGAGCTTGGTGAGCACAGTGACTGACTTTGTCGTCACTCGATGAATGTAAATTACAGTATGTGACGCAAATGGCGCTGCTCGCCGTCGAGTTATTCTTAAAAATTGGATAACGTAGACGCAGATGGTACATAGATCGGGAGAACATGCCATGGATGCCAAACTCGGAGAGAAAGATTTTGGTGACACTCAATTCAACTGGCGACCAGCTTCAGGTGATTGCCCTTAGCTAGTTTTATGGTTAAGTTTCAGGCGATGGCAAACGTAAATGAGATTTTTCAAAAGCTAAACAGTAGAGCAGCAAAGTACGAATATCGATAAGTCGTTTAAGTCTAAGAATGTCTACATAGTTAAATGGAGTGGGTGATGAGATGCATCCGATAAATGCAAAAGGAAAGGATCACAATGAAAAAGTGCGAATTTTGTAGTTCTCCGAAGTGGAGCATCATGCCTACAATAACATGGTTGTGTTCGCCAAGGCCAGTAATATTGCAAAATGCGTGATAAGTTTTAGCTTGATAGCCGAAGTTCTTGCATATCAGTTGAGTGTGGCGAAGGAACAAATCGAACACTATGTAGGTTCACCAGTTGATCGTTTTCCCGAGCTTGATAAAGGGATCGCATACGTTTCACCACCATGCGAGGTGGTATCTTCAGTGCGGTGATAGTCAGTGTATAATCCTGCTTATTGAATCGTCAGTCCATCATCCACGGGCAGGTGACTTTTGGAGGTGGCAATTTCGATTTGCGCCAAGTGATCTCTGCCCATTTGCTTCCGCGGCTGAACCATGTATTTCGCTTCGCCGGAGATCTTTCTTTCTGAGCTGATGGTGCACACGAGGTCGATGTCGATGTGCATGTTGATCGAATTATTAGAGGAGTACCATGCTTCTAGGAATTCTCTTCCTTTCTGGATTGTTGTTTGAGCTAAAATCACCGTTTTGTTCCAATTGAAGCTATGTCCCTGCTCATCCACATGCGTCGAGACAAGAGACGATGCATAATGTTTTTTACAAGCCCTCTGATGTTCATGTATTATTGTGGTCCGTTTCTTTCCTGTCTGCTCCACATAGTTCATTTCACAATTATTGTAATTTTTTAAACACGACGTTTGTTTGTTCTTTTGCATCCCGAATATCCTTTGGGCTTGACAGTATTCTTCGCAAAGTAGCGGTTGGCTTATGAGTGACCATGATGCTGTGTTGTTTGAGCAATCTGGCAGTCATTTCAGGTATGTTCTTCATATACGGCGAAACGACCCTCTTGCTTGCATTTGGTATCGGCTCGGTGTTCATAGGTTTGTGGTTTAGACATCTACGGATGAAGTTGCGTGAGTATCCATTGCGCTCAAACGAATCGTATAGGTGTTTCTCTTCTTTCCGTTTGCTTTCCACTGTGCTGCAGTGTGTTCAATTCTGCTAAATAGTGTCCGCACGCAAGTTATTTTGTGGCAGTTGGGATGATTTCTATAGAAGTTCAAAATGTGGTCCGGATGTATCCCTTTCCTGTGAATGGATGTTTGAAATTCACCATCCTTTGTTCTTGTCACCAACACATCCAAGAATGGGAGCATGTCTTTTGCCTCTAACTCCATTGTAGACTGAATCCCATCCATTGCATTGTCGAGTAGTTGGTGTGCGATTGCTACTTCACTGCGTTTCAGTATTACAAATGTATCGTCGACATAGCCTACCCCCAACTTCGGGTTAATAGCTGGTAGTAGATCTTCTTCCAACTTTTGCATGATGATCTCAGCAATCAGACCTGATGCTGGTGATCCCATCGGTGCCCTCTTCAGTTGCTCCTAGATCCCTCCGTTGAACGAGAAGTTGCAATTGCAATAATTGTGAAATGAACTATGTGGGACAGACAAGAAGGAAACAATTCACAAGAATACAAGAAAATCAGAGAGCTTGTAAAAAAAACATAATGCATCGTCTCTTGTCTCGGCGCATGTGGATGAGCAGGGACATAGCTTCAATTGGAACAAAACGGTGATTTTAGCTCAAACAACAATCCAGAAAGGAAGAGAATTCCTAGAAGCATGGTACTCCTCTAATAATTCGATCAACATGCACATCGACATCGACCCCGTGTGTACAATCAGCTCAGAAAGAAAGATCTCCGGCGAAGCGAAATACATGGTTCAGCCGCGGAAGCAAATGGGCAGAGATCACTTGGCGCAAATCGAAATTGCCACCTCCAAAAGTCACCTGCCCGTGGATGATGGACTGACGATTCAATAAGCAGGATTATACACTGACTATCACCGCACTGAAGATACCACCTCGTATGGTGGTGAAACGTGTGCGATCCTTTTATCAAGCTCGGAAAAACGATCAACAAGTGAGCAACCAAGCCGGGCTACCAGTGTTCCAAATTATTTCGACTGCGTAGGTTCATTGATTTACAGGCCTGATGGTCGCATTGCGCATGACTAACTCCTTGCAGGAAAGTCAAATTCACCAACGCAATGTCCCTTTCCGGCAGAAGTGCTCATTAGGGGGATAAAAGTTGGTTAGCCCGAGGTCGATCTCGATATAAGCGGTGCTGACAGCTTCGCAGCTGGTGGGTATTCGACAGGATACGCAGTCAATGTCTATTGCTGTAACGATTACATCTACCACAGACATGGCAACAGGCGTAAAAAGGGGAGGGCGAGGAGTGTCAAATTAACTTAGACGCCGCAAAAGAGATGCCGGTTTAAGAAAAAAGAATAAAGCGTCGGAGGCACGTACCCACGCGCATGGTTTGGGTATGCCATGGGGTTGTCTAGCACTCGAATCGATGACCTCCGGATAACAAGACAGACTCGCAAATCTTCCGGCCACCGGCCGACTGGTTACAAGCACGAGGTGAGCACTTTTAGACGAATGTAGCAAAGGATATGAGTAGGAAGCTAGCATTTCTGGATTTGAACATTAAAGATCTACGGTTGCATCAAAAGGGAATGGCAAAGTAAAAGCTCTAAAGCTTTGGTTCACGACAACAACAACAATCTAAAATTGCACGAATGAACGCAGAAACATATGACTGTCAAGCTCTGAGGACACTGAGATGCATCTTAATTCGAATGAAAAGCCAGTTTCGTGAGCCTTATGTTAGAATGCTGTAAGAGGAGCACAATCTTATGGACAAAATGTGAGGTTGCGCAACATTACAAACCTGATCAGCTTTGTCCTGTAATTCGGCTTGCGTGCGGCAGTCTGAACGAAGACATTCCGCTGTTTCTTGCAGGCGAGCAATTTCATCCGTTTCTTTTTCGCAGTATAAAGAACACGTTTCTAGATCTTCTAGCACAGATATAAGCTTAGGCATCAAGTTCTGCAAGATGTCCGGCCCGTACTGACTAACTATAAGCTGACATTCGTGGCCGATTGAGGAAGCGGCATCGTAAACGTCCAGAGAAGTGAACATACGAAAATGATAACAAGCGTGGTGTAGTTCAGGTTCAAGCAGAACTAGAATGACAAGGGAATCTCGTGAGAGTTAGTTCTCAGTAGATTGTTGAGCAAGAAGTTGAGAAAGTTCAAGAAAGCTTGATGAGCCTGAAATGAAATAAATGAATCACACCATGGCCAAATAATTACGACCAAAGTAATCCGAACTAATAATACCTGGGTTTGCCTGCTACGTGAAGAAAGAGCAAGATCGAAACCAAAAGACGAGAAGGACAAACATTAATTAACTAAGGATAACACCAGGGGAAGACAATGTACAAAACGAAAACCGAAAATGGAAGATAAAACTCGTTTAGGAGAAGTGGGTAGTGTAACGTTCTAACTCCAGAAAACATAAGCGACACTTAAAAGTGAAGCCCTTAACAAGGCACTCTGGAGGCGATTCCCAGATTTGCATAACTGCGAGGCAAACGAGTTTCCATTCAAATCCGATCAAAATGAGGTTTGGGCAGATTCATGGAATGACTACGGAGATTAGATAACCACGCGCTCGTAAGTGGCGACGTTCCCCAACCATGCACGGAATTTGAAGAATCATATTTCGCTTTGCAGCTCACATGTATGCTTCTTACAAGCGAACAGTTCTAATTAGTACATGCTGCCTAATGGAGATGCCTAAGCTTCACCCGAAGGTAAAATGACGTTTGAAGAAGTGTTCGTAAGGAATATCGCATTTGATGAACCATTCTCTGATAGAGTACCAAAGCAGGCACGTTGAGCTGAACCGATCGAAGTTAACAACGCTCTGTGTAGAGTGACCTTCGATAGCCACATCGCGTTGGCTATGAATAATGACGTCCAACTCTCGGTCAAGGGGTATCCAGTGCAATCTGTGTAAGACAATTGCACATAGCTTGCTTTAACATAGAAACCTATCTTTACAAATGCCTTTAGTGAAATTCAAGTGTCGGGCCTACAATGTTGCAGAGAGTGATATGGCTATTTGGTTGCAAGATTTGTCCAGCTCGTGCAAGATGTTCACAGGCTTTCTGACAATAATAATAATAGTAATAAGAACACTAACAATGAGCATACTTCTCATCACATACATATATACGCTTCAATAAGCCATCAGCGTCGCCACCTTCCGCCATGATCTAAGAGAGGATGAGTAAGCTACATATGTAGTCATCATCAGCGCAGCGCCTGGTAAGTTCAGTGCTTCCGATTCAAATTACTAACCCAGGCAGTTGATGTGGTACGTGTGCTACATCATCGCTACATTTGGTCTGTACGTAGGCACGCGTGTTGAGCCATTTTCATTTCAAGTGTTGGCTGTTGATTGATATCCCCGGTGTGTTTGCGCTTGACGTGAATATTGACAAGGTGCCTACCTATCCGTTTACTCTGCATCTCGTCTACACTGGCCCCAGGAAACGGTCGTTGTTGGAGGGGACGGGGTGCACAGTCTTCGTGACCTTGCTATGTTAAAAGACTGGTTCCATGTATCCAGTGCGGAGCGGGCTACGGCACAGCCACCTCCCCGTGTAATTCTGGTACGCTTAGTTCCTAAAGTAGAGTGAATGATAGATTGCTGATGTGTAGGTTGAAGGAGCGTGGGCCGCCTTCGTTGATATAACGTCGCTCCCATCCACGTGCTTCCCGGTCTTATTCCTTCCGGTGTACCATGGAGATGGGGTGCATGGATGAAGCTGTGGGTAGTGCAACATAAGTTACCCAAGGTCTCACTGTAGGCACAGGCGTCTTGTGGCTTTCCACGTGGAGGCCGTAGTGAAATGCATATCCCTAATCAAATGCCGCCAACCATGTGTGTGGTAGTGCGTTGAGGCTTTTGCTGGCAAGATCCTGACAGATCGGCGACGCGCTGCCGCTAATATGCAGTGGACTCATATCCTGGACGACTGCTTGTGGCGACCGCTGGATGGGAGTTTAGTTGCGCCCTACTTCAAGCTAAGAGCAAACACACACCATTCCTCGTGAGTCGGTTTACTGGCTTATGGTGCACGGCTCACTGCTTTTCGGGTGTACATTTTATCGACAGCTTTGGTCCCAAAGGTAGCATCGCCAATCGAACAAAAGGCCTTCGTCAGTCGCAATGGCTTCCTCGTTGGAGGCCCTGTCTTCATTCGTGACTACCAATCTGGTCACCTAGACTGGATCGAAGACACAGTATCCGAGCAAAGTTGCATGACGTCGCTGTGGGAGACGATAAATGGGTTTGCCACCGAAACCAGCTTCGGCTGCGACGCGGAGCAGTCCCCGTTCAGTTGCCTACGCAACTGCCGTCGCACATACTACTGGATCCGTTTCGAACAGTAGCGGGACTACTGGAAGTTGTGAAAGCTGCGCGACCAACGCCAGACCCCGTCTCTTATCACCCTGGAACAGAACGCATCCATCGAAGGACCAAAAGGCTGCAGGTCAACCCGTAACAAAAACGTTACATCTAAATATAAAGTGAGGAGCACTTGTCCCTCAGAAATGCCGCACAAGTCAGGATCCAGACTTGTACTGTTGTGAGTGCATGATCAGACACATGGGTTCATGTCTCACACGTCCGCACCCCATTTGCTCCGACACACCCAGACAATGCATGTGAATTCTCTTGTCACTTAAACGCCTACGACTACTGGGGCGTAATTCCTTGAATCTTCTTTGTACTCGCCGCCGAAGTCTATGCCGCCAGCCTGGATATAAAATTGAGGCTGTGCGACTGTATCAAGGAGAGTAAAATCTCCCTGGAAAACAGTAATTCAATGGGAAAACAAGCAGGGCCCATGGTGTACAATAGAAACAGCACGTGGTTTCAGGAACGTTCGCGTCCATACGACGTGCACATCAATCTTCCCATTGCCTGGCGAAACTGATCTATCAATTAGGACAGCTGAGCCAGCTGTTATGCTACGTGAAACTTCTTTGGTAGAAGTACAAAAAATGCCAGTTGATTGCACACTACTTGTATCCGTTTCGGTAGCTGGTTCCGCAATACGCTTTTGCCTCCAAGCGTTGACTTCTCGTTTACGGCTGGGATTCGGAGTTAGTAGATACCGAATTCAGCTCAACCGGAACCGCGCAACCAGATGTAGATTGTAACACTATGCAAGTGCTTTTCCGCTGGGTCATAAAATTACCCCGTTGTAAGTCAGTTTTCTCACCTCTCGGAGTTGGGTGCGCGGGTAACAAGCGGTACCAAGCGCGTATCGACTAGTGCGTTCCGTCTAGTTCGCGAGTACCGATAAGTGGGTTCTGTCTCGTTTGGAGTATAAGTTTACGCGAAATCAGTATCGTTCGTGCCGACCGTATCGCTAAGGTCAGCTAGGATAATCGCAGCGAGCAGACCGTTACTTGATTGACAATGTCGGTAAAAGCCCCTATGACGACGAGGGTAGTTAAGCGATCGACTGAATGGTGCTATTTCGTATTCACAAGCAAACCGCAGTGCCCTGGAAAATCAAGTCCAAGAATGGGTGTCTGGAAGTCGGCGACTAGAAATACTAAGTATCATATATATAGTGCCCGATCGGCGCACTATAACTGGTGACTACGCTATAACTGGTGTGTGTTACTGTATTTTTCAGATTTGGTTACAAATTTCGTCTATCTAACTTTACATTTTCTGACTGTCGGATTCAAATGTGATGACTCAGAATTTTTCGATATGAAAGTTATTTATCTAGACCCGGGCGACTAGGTGAGTGTAGTCAAAGTCGCTATCCCGGCTTTTTGTGGAACTAACCTTAAGTCCTGGTTGGCCCGACTACAGTCTCAGTTCGTATTGCGTGGTGTTATGTCCGGGTGGAGTAAGTTTTAAAGACATTTGCTCCATCTGTTGTCGACAATGTCGACAGCATTATGGATCTGCCAGAGCAGCAGAAAACTTATGAGGTGATCAAAGTCTCTGTGCAGGAAAGAACAGGCTCGTCTGACTGACGAGTTACGAAGCTCGTAAGCGAAACCCAAATAGGCAATCTTTAACCTACTCAGTTGCTGCGAAAAATGCAGTCTAGCAAAACTCTGAACGTTAGACGATGCTATGCACCGAAAAATGCGGTTGCAACGATCACCCGTGAGATAAATAACGTTCTTTGTGCTTGTGCTGATGCGCCGTTGTGCAAGTTAGCTGACGCCGCCGAGCATACTCAGAAATCTAGCGTCCAGATCTAGCAGGTTTACTCCACACTTAGTATCGAGTTAGCCGAACTAAAAGCGCAGATCGTGGAACTTACCAATCGACTAGAAGACTTAACACCGTCCGGAGCCAACCACCAATATCGTCCTAGAAATCGAACATGTTCGAGAGCAAGTTCGAAATTGCAGCCAAAATTATCCTATTGATGGTATCACGAGCGATTTGATCATCAGGCCAGACCGCGCTGCCCCGCCCGGTTCCATCAAGCGCCAGACGCAAGGAAATGGGCAGAGCTGAACGTAGGGGCGACGGACGTCACCGTTCGCCATTACCGCCAAGGCAAACTTGGTCGAAGAAACTTTGAAAGGTGTGCGACATTCTTAAGACTAAATGGCATGCATGTTAGTTGAGGGCGGAAAACATTCCAGCTAATGTGTCGAAATGCAAAAAACATTAGATACTAGAAGTCAGACTACAAAAGAGTTCAAGAAGCAAGTACTATGATATAACAGCACGAGGCAAGTTGCGTTGGCTTGGACTCGTACTACGAGTGCCCGGTCACCGCCAACTGAAGAGGTCTCAAGGTACGAGGTGGACTAAAATTGATTTGGCATCGGGAAATGAGGTCACTGACGACCAAACTGGGTGCCGTCGGTCCGTCTCGCCATCCAGGCCAATCCACATGACCCGCCTTGTGCTGTAATGGACTGGCTCGCAGTGGACACCAGTGGCGCGTCTGCCGTCTCGTAATCGGGCTGCCTGTTTAAAGTGTGTTTGGTGCTGAGTTATCTGCGGGGTAATGGATAATTATGATTAGGAGCAGTGAAAGCCGCATAGAAGCTGTCGCGCCGATGCCGCCTTGTCTTTGACGACAGATAGTTGTTTGTGACGGTATGTT